AGCCAATGAGTAGCAGTAGAAAGGCTGCAGAAAGAGTCAGGAGCCCAAAGGAGGGGGCAAAGGAGGTGAGGGGGTGGGAGCAGAAAGTGGAAATGAAAGCAGACAACAGAACATTGCTAGAGAGCAGGAAAGAAGGTGAAAGGAGACAATTTTAGAGAAGAAATTTTTTCGGTCGCTACCCGGGACCTTTGAATGAGAAGCCAACACCTTAACCTCTAGGCCACTAGAGTCCCCAGTGCGTTTATGATTTATTTACGCCGCTTCTCTAGTCACATGTAGATCTAGATCTAGATCTAGTTGTAAGTCTGAAAAGTATTTAAGCTAGGGGAGAAGTGTCCTCAGAAGTGTCCACACACTCTCACACACACACACACACACACACACACACACACACACACACACACACACATACACACACACACACACTCACCACAGTGCCTAGTGCATTGTTACACTCACAACATTGTAAGTTTATTTTAGAAATTAGAGGATGGGATATTCGGCCAGGGGACGAGCAGAAACGATACGCCTCTGACTCCCCCGTCATAGCACTGCTCTGGGGTGAAAAGAAATGCTTCAGTGCTTCAGGGAGGACGAGAGAAAAAGTCGGATCTCACATGGATTCGAACCTCGAACTTCCGTGAGGCGTTTTAGCCTATCAACCTTGTAAACCCACAGGGGACCACTATGAAACAGAGCGCCCTATAGCCCCTTTTTAAGGCACGGAGGCCTAGATCTAGTTACGAAGTTCGTCGTACATGGATAACCACCGGGTCCACACAACGGTCAGATTTGGCTTGGGTTTGCCTTCCCTCTCTACATACCTGACGCGCGGCACTTCGTGGCGATGACTTCCCAAGCCTTGTCTTGTACATCTTTCGAAGTGTAGTCTGGTAACGTCGTGTCATATAAACACTTGTACGTCTCGACAAGTTGAACAAATCTTAGATTAAACGCTTCACTATCTGGAAGAGGCATGAGGAAAAATCACACACAAATCTCTAACAACAACAAACCATTTCACACTTTGCTCTTCTCATCCGCCCTCATTCGTCACGCGACTTGTCTGCGCATGCGTCCTGAGGTGGCAAGTGGCACGTATGCTGACGTGACACGCCAGACGCGGAGGGGATTAGGCGAGGGGGGGAGAGAGAGAGAGGGGGGGGGGGGGAGGGAACCGGTCTGGTCCAGTCAACCAGTGGCACGCAAACAGGCGCGGCGTTTCATGCGCAGCTTTCTCCTTGTCTAGCGTTGTTTTTTGTCAAGTGACAGCTGCCACCCATCTATTTGATGCCCCTTGCCACATAATTATGCTTGAATACTCTAGTACACCACGAAGAAACTCCTTATCGCGCTTATTAAGTTATGCAATGACTATCTACTTCCTTTTGTCTGTTATTGCTGTTTGTTTTCATTTTGTAATAATATTATCGTCTTCATCTAGTATTTGTTTATTTTGAAGGGAAAAGGTAGGGCGCGAGGTCGTTGTTTCTCTGTTGTTCACTGATTTGTTTTGTTTACCTTCTAAGAGCAGAATTTCCTACTTAAATACACATTTTTAAGTTCTACTATAAAGACAAGAGATGACAAATTGATCTCTCTATTCTTGTTTCGGCTGTGTCGCAACTCAAGTCACGATTGATGAAATTTTCCCGACTTCGTGTCGAGTAACGGAAATTGAAAAAAAAAAAAATCCCACTTAAAACAAACAATATTATGTCCGTCGGCTGTTTCTTACAGTTTGACATGAATAAAGCAGCATTATCTAGGCCTAGGCCTAGCCTAACGACGGACTGATGGCACGAGACAGCTCCACCGACCTTTGCCCTCTCCACCTTGCCGTGTTCAACTGTAGGCCAGCACGCTTCACTCTTCGTTTCCTTCGCTTGCCTTGCAATGAAAAAAGCCGACAGGAGCGGAGCACGCATTGAGTTTTATTTTTACACAGCTTTTATCCCAAACAGGGCCCCAGAAAGCGTTTCCTCTCGAAAGCCAACCGCAAGCTCAGCTGCAGTGAGAATTGAGAACGGGAAAGTAGGTCAAAGTCAAGAGAGGCAGACAAGTCATAGAAATTTAGTGTTCACCATGACATGTCATTGTCAGACTGTCAGAGAGAAAGTTGTGGTCCGATGAGAACAAAAAAAAATAATTAAGGTTTAGATCTAACTAGTAAGCGGGAAAGTAAGAGTTAAAGTTGGTGCCGACGATTTTTTTCGCTTTGTTACATTAGGCTATTCAAACTTCTGGTTTGCATGCCTCCCCCACCTCCCATTTTTCCAAGCTGCCTGCCGACTGCCCAGTAGGCCAAATTTGCTACCTCTCGCTCCATTTTCTGTTCTTTTGCATTCCTTGACCATCTCCACTTGCTCTGAGTTCAGTTTATAAACCCCAACCCGCCTGTTTTGATTTTGAATCTTGAGAAACATTTTTGTACCAAGTATTGGTTTGTTGGTTATTATCAATTAATTAGATCTAGATATAGATCAAGGAGATTAAAAGTAAGTTCTTAACTCCTTGATATAGATCTATAGGCCTATATATTAATATCATCTTTTAAGTTTTGATTTTGCTACCCTGACCCTATTGTTACGGTCTGCCTGTTTTGATTTTGAATCTTGAGAAACATTTTCGTACCAAGTATTGGTTTGCTGGTTATTATCAATTAATACCATCTTTTAAGTTCCAATTGGTTTTGATTTTGCTACCCTGACCCTATTGTTACAGTCTGGATTCTTGAAGTTGTTTTCAGCTCCTGTTTCGTCACCACCACCTCCCCCCTCCCCTTTGTCTTTCTGTTTATGCTGAGTGATTGCTGGGGAATTCCTGTTGCAATAATGTTTCATATCAAAAGTAGCGTACAGGCTACCGAGTAGGCCTACCGAGAGTGGAGAACCCACTGTAGAAAAAGCATCACCACAGTGAGTGAAAGAAAAGACATCTAAATCATAAAACCAAACAACTTAAATGGCAGTGAGCACCAAATATTAAACAAATACACAAAAATAAAATTTTACAGAGAAAAAAAATAATCGCTGCGAGCAGGGTTCGAACCTGCGCGGGAAGATCCCATTGGATTTCAAGTCCAACGCCTTAACCACTCGGCCATCACAGCACCTGAGGGAGAGAGAGTCGCAAAAGACAAGTATGCTGCGCTATGCGCTTTTCCGTGATGTGCTATTATTATTACTGACTGTTTAATTTTTTTTTCTTTTCTTAATAAAAATTAGGCTAGATCTAGATCTAGATCTATATTTATTTTATTTGGCATTTGTAATTGACTACTCAACATTATGTAAGGGCACAGAATTCTACACTTAGTGATGCTAGAACTAGAAGAGGGTCTCTCTCTTCGGGATCGCTGATTCGCTGTGAGGAATTGTAGCTAAAACATGGCGTTGGTTTGTTGGGGGGGGGTTTTCACTCGTTTGTAAAAGCCGCTCTTGCTTTAAAAAGCTAGATCTAGGCTATAAGGTTACTTCCGAAAACGATAAATCTTGCCCTCACTAAGCCATTGTTTTCGGTCCGCAATTCCTCTCCTAATTCCTCACAGGTCACGTGGTATAGTGCCGTTCTATAGGTGTAGAATTATGTGGTTCACTAGTTAGGGGGTACTTTCTAACTGAATTATTACAACTTTTAAGTAATTCCTGGCCATTATTGTCAAGCAGCTCAGTTTGGCCCATTTATTTTTATCAGACCAACCACGTTACTCAGGTTAGGCTAGAACTTTTTTTTTTTTTAAATGAAAATATCACCATTATGAAACTATGTGTTCCTTCAACATGCAAAAATAGAAAAGCCGTGCCTTGTTTGCGTGTTCAAATCTTTGTTTGATATTTGCAACTGCTTTTTTTAATAAGAGCAAACTACGAGTTTGTCTAGGTTACCTTCTCTTCTTTTGATTTGATGTAGATTTAATCTAGAATAGTAACCCACTTTATTATAGGCATAACCGCTGGGAACTGGAAAGAGAATTTTTAAAAACAACTCACGGGAATAAACTATAAAGAGCTGCCACTGACCATGTCAAGCTAGGATAAGGTCTAGGTGGACATTGGAAGAAATGATCACACGTGGGTTTTGAGAGAAAAACAGTAAGCCTAGATCGAATAAGAAAAATACGCGAGTAACAAGAGAAAAAAAAAAGCATCAGTATTACTATTAGATTGTCTCCTGGCTAAATTGATTACAATACAGAAGCTAGGACAGAGAGAGGAATCGAGAAAAAACCTTTTAGTTCACAATCTCAGATATGGGGAGAAAGTGTGCGTGTTTGTCTGTCTGTCTGTCTGTCTATCTGTCTGTCTGTGTGCGAACACGCGTACATGTGTGTGTGTGTGTGTGTGTGTGTGTGTGTGTGTGTGTGT